AGGATTAAACGGAAAACTTAAATTGATATTGACATGGATAACCATTTATTATTATTATTGAAAAAGCTGATTTAAATAGAAGGAACACTTATATACGTAAATTTAATATATACATTTGCTTAAAAAATTACTGGATTTACTACTTTCCCTGCTTTTTGGTGACAATACAGCTTGAAGGAAATGGGGGTTACCGATCTGGAGCAGGAGATCTTTATACATTTTTTTTTAAGATAAAACATAAAACACATAAGCAGTTTCTGCCATACTATCTATTGAACAATATTTACCTATGAGATAGCAAATTTCAAAGCAAGAAAGACTAAATTTATAAAAAGTATATAAGTTTGTCTGCTAAAGTACACATATTCAGCGGGTTGATTCGGAATAAAGACATTTTTGTCAGAAATATAAGCCACTATAGAGTTCAACACTGGCCATCAGTGTTAAAACCAATTTTTTGCAGAGGGTTTTGAATTATCCAAGTAAGTAACGCACTGCCACTGATTTGAAGAAGTTCGAAATGAGTATTTTTCTTTGCATTATGTAGGCATCTATTGTGCCATTCGAAAACACCAGCATTCACTTTGATTTATGATTAATTGAGGGCTGCAATTTAGGTCAGGTGGGATCAAAACAGCAAAAATATATCAAAATCAATGATTGAAAAGTACATGCGTTTCTTAGAAAATCCATTAACTGTTCATTAATAAATCAAATTAATTTGATTATGTGGAGAGAATTTCGTGTTCTACTTCACTGAAAAGGAAAAATTCATAATATTGAAGTATTTTCCAGTTGTCTGATGAAAATAATATTCAGCACCGACATTGGCTTTTCCATTGTAAAAATATGTGTCCAGAGGGAAAATCACAATGGAAAACTAGAAATCGCGGTTGTCTGACGCCTCGAGTCTCGAGTGCCCAGGCTATGAACTTTCAAGAGTCCTGAGGGGGCTATTAATCGATATTCTATTTTAATGGATTTATCCAGGTTTGGATTAAGTAATAAACTTGATGTGATAAGGCTTCTGAAAGTGACTGCAAGCAAACCACGAATAAATAAATGCAATAATAAATATTTTGAAAACTTCAAAAATTACACATCCGCTCGTTCTGAAAATACAGGTACTAAAGTTTGGAAACAGGAAATAGTTTCATGAACTTTTCTAGGCGTTAAATGCCCTGAAAGAGCATGTTTAGCAATGAAAAATTATATTTTTGGTTTTGCCAGTGGCGTTAGTATTAATATAAAAATCGGTTTTTGGTCAATTCAACTTGGAATGAAAAAAATTCCCGTCAGTTTCTGTTGACAACTATCGACCATTCAGATTTCGCGTGTGAAACATCTGAATAATAATCATTAAAAACCAATTGAACAAGCAAAACGATAATAATTTTATATATAAAAGTCACAATAAAGGTATTCGTAGTTAATGTTATTGTTATAATCATTTTTTGTCTTCTAAGTATTTGTTGTGGACTTTGTGATAGAAATGGGAAAGCAGTTTGTGAATTTTCGTCGTAAGTCGCTTTCCATATCCAAGAATCCAGGACGTCTTTTCTTCGATGACTCTCGTTAACATAAACATTTTCAAAATTTGAATCACCGTATTAATAATAGGCATGACATAAATCGTACTTTCGATTTTAAAAAACCTAAGTTCAGCTCTCACCGTACACCTTTCAATATATGTCTCCAATATTTTATACATTACACTTATTTTTAAAATATACAAATACTTTATTTATTACAATGCAACCAGATACATATCTATCACATACAGCACAGCGCATTTAGCATTTATACCCTGGAAATGCGGAAGAGAGAATGATATTCTGCCAGTGGCTTTTAAGCTTGGCGGAAGAACTTCCTGCCTTTTTACAAAATTTAACTGACTATAAAATTCATATTTGAACAGCTCGAAATCAAGGAGAAATTCGGTCAAAATAGTTTTAAAATGAGGTTTCGATAACAAAAATTTTTGATAATAATATTTGTGGTCATAATTTACTGCCTATATAAATTTATTGGGATACATGGGGTGAGTGTACCATATTTCAAACGATTTCTTCCACTTATACTATTATTTTATTTATAAATTATGTTAACAAATTTTTGTATTCTTTTTAATTTTAAGACATATGTTTACCCTTCTTTTCCTTAAAGCAGCATTTTTATAATGCAGTTTATGAAAGAAAGTCTAAAGTTACTCCCCTGAAAGTGAACCTTTTTGTGTACAGAGTTGCAAAATGTATTTTCCATGAACAGTGGCTTTTATCTTTTACAGCAAAAATCACTATTTAATATTAGAGAAAATATGCTCTGGATCTCATCAAAATGACGACCATCAACATCAATATAATTATTTTAAAAAATCGGCGTTTTATTGGTTTACCACTCTGAATGCAATGCAGCCAAAAATTGAGACTTAAAAAAAATATGTTTGTTTTTTTTGTGAAAACACGCTAGATGTATCACAAACACATGCATTTTGTAAAACGAGCATCTAAAGTGGTTGAAATAAATTCGAATATCAGAGCTGATGTTAAACTTTCTATCTCGATATTTTAAATACAATCCTGGAATTCAGTCAGGGCTATTATGGAGCCTTTAACAGCAACTCTTTTGTTCCTCTTGGAAATATCCGGAATTCTTTTAGAGGAAAATTTAGAACAATACCAAACCATAACAATAAGTTGCTAAAGTGCGGGCAGGCTACGATTTTAAATTATTCTAGGAAATTTATGTATTGTAATTAAATTTCAATAATAGCTGGATTTTCCAGCTATGTTTGCTATGTGATACGATTTTTAGAACAGTTTCAAGCTTCGACAAAAAATGGGCATATGTTTCAATGAAATATTTCAACCTTCATCGAGCAAAAAGTTCTTGGTCATTACCTTTAGAAACTAGTTTTCTGAGAAAACTCGACTTGAACAATTCAATAATACGTATCTTTTTCTTTATCATCAACGGATTCAAAAACGGATCACGGCCATTCAAAGGTTTGTTATTTATTAATATTGTTCATTGATGAAAATGCTTCATTGGCAGATGAACACTGAAACACGAAGCTCTATTGAATTTGCTGTTCAACTTTTTGTGATAACATTTTGTTCTTATTTACAAACCCTTCATCTCCAGTTAGTTCAACTTTTTTGGGTGTTGCGCAGATGAAAAGGCTTTAAATCTGCTCATTTTCCTTCCATAGAACTTTCATAGATGAAATTTTAGTACCTGCTATAACTTGAAAATGTACAATAGTTAGGAACCAGAGCAGAAATAACGAAATCGTTTTAACGCCTGAAGTAGAATTATTTTTACATCGATGGTTAGTAATTATTATCACGTTAAGTTAGAATTGATTTTGATTTATTTTCCTGACTGCGTGTAGTTGTTATTATATTTTTTCTTTCCTGGGTCAAAATGTGAAATAAAAATGTTCATATCGTTTATTTCATATAACGTTTCAGCGAGACAACAGCGCCATCATCAGATTGAAAATTCAACACAAACTACAAACAGCAATTTACAATTAAAATATGTTGTACAAACATGTTAACAGCACGTTTTAACACTTTTTAACGCTTTGTAAAATATAGTTTTTGTACAACATATTTTAATTGTAAATTGGTGTTTGTAGTTTGTGTTAAATTTTAAATCTGATGATGGCGCTGTTGTCTCGCCGAAACATTATATGAAAGAAACGACATGAACATTTCTTATTACATATTGCCTGATAATCCTTTTGTACAATTAAATGTCAGCTGATTATTTCATAAGTTTCGGGGAAGCACACGAGATGTACGTGTAAAGCTGGGAGATTACAAGCTTTAACAAAAACAAAGCAGATTTTTAATCGCAGCAGAATTCCACGCTTTACGCCCATATATGGGACTTTTAATAATTGGCCCATATTATTGGCCAATAAATCGCGGAAAAGATGGCATTAGATGAAAAGTAGATAAAAGACTCCTATCCATATTTAAATCATCATCGACATCCATAGTTAAATTCCACGCCAAAATTTCCAATTAATTTGTTGATATTCCTATGTAATCGAGATTTGGAATTAAAAAGAAAATTTTCAAAAATCTATATAAATTTTAGTACTGGATCATTCGAAAACATTTACAAATTTGGATTTCCATTGAATGTTGAAGCCTAATAAGTTTTAAATAGTTATTTTACTTTGTATTGCTGTTCTGTTCCTAAAATCGACCAAAAAATAATAAAAATATTTTACAAAAAAACTCTGTCATGGTATTAAATGTTTACAATATTATGAAGCTTTCAGAGGACCACTCTTTCGAATATTTTTTTTTTCAGTAAAACTGCCAAATTTGAATTAAACATTTAAACCGCAATTCAACCAAATTATGAGACCACAAACTCAGCTCGTATGCGAATAAAACTTAATCACGGCATAATCCTAATATTCAGGGTAGCCGAAAAATTCGTTTTATCGATATTGTTTTATCTATATATATTAGAGCAGTATATTATTCTGAAGCACCTTTGTGGTTTTAATCCAGCAAGAATAGTTTCGCCAACAATGATTGTTCTGTTTTCGTACTTGCATAAGTGTGTGCATATTGATGTGGATTGTCCATGGAACCCGTTGGATGTTCCGTATAATGAACTCGGCCAGTCTGATATTTCAATTTAGCTGACTATAAGGATGGTTTAGTAATAGATAGAAACGTTTGGATTAATGTGATTTTGAATTTCTAAACTTTGTATATGTTTTATATTCGACAAATTTTAAGCTACAAAAATATATGACCTGTTCACCAGTCATTCTAAAGTTATCAAGTTAACAAACAGCTTGTATACTTACGATTCGGACACTTTCTGGGATTTAAATGAACATATTTCTAGATTGAATTAAAACGAAAACACGTCGCTCCCTGATGAATTGGCAATTGAAACCCAATGACTGAGCAAATATTCTATGGAGAATAAGGATTAAGGCTGGGGCTCAGAATAAAAATGATTTATTACTTCTTACTAAAAACAGACTTTAATGTAAATTATTTTAAGCGCACAGGTATTTTATGAAATGTTCGTCCGTGTAAAGTGTCATAAAATAATGTTAAAAAGCTACATAAAGCTAAATAAAGATAGATAAAAGTGTTATAGATGCAAATATAAACGATGGTTGAAAATATAACAGATTGAAACAGTACTTACTTTAAGTTACTCCCGATAACTATAATAGACTGTACAAAGCTCGTACACTAATAGTAACTAATGTATGTATACATATGTTACAAAATAAATAATGATGATACTAAAACACACATATACAAAGCACAACGCTTCTTAGTTCTCAGGTACCAAGATTATTAATTAGTTTACAAATGTTGAGTGACAAAAGAACTAAAAAAACATTTAGAATTTGACATTTGCTTTACAAGCAATTTACAAAAAAGTGTAAAAATTAAGAGTAAAGTAAGCAAAGAAGTATATATGTACAACAAACCTAAAATGTAACCCTCATTTTTTTTTACCTAATAAAAATTGGATTAGCGAAAGATCGAAAGCAAAGATTTATTTTAATTTCAACAGTCCAAAGTTTTGTTGCCGAATTTATTCCTGATTATCACATACGAATAACAGAACTAAAATTATTACAACATTTATCATATATCAAAATCAAAATATTTTCAAATATTGTTAGCGCGGGTTAGAACAGAGTAAAAATTAATAAAGAATTATTGCGTCATATCGCATACACATCAAAATAACAACAATTTTTTTAAGAGCCGAGTGTAAAAATAACAAATATTATAAATATTAAATAAAAATAATCATTGCGCACTTCGATGTCAATGAATAAGCAAAAAAATAATGTTATTCCACCGTTCCACCATGTTGTGCTAATCTGATACAAATGAGTTACTTAGCAGCACAACTCGCGGTAAAAACCAATGTTACTTAAAGACATGACGAGAGATACGATACGGTGAAGTACTCGAAATTAATCCTATTTTCCTTTTAAGATCCGTCATCGGGAAAATCGTAAAAAGGATAGGCAGAATTTATGTGAGTTACTCCAGGTTCTGTTGGTAAAGGAACCGGGAGAGGTAGCGCGGGTTTACGTGGACGTGGTACTCGTGATCCTGCATGTGCCGGTCCTGAGGGTCTAAGTCGAGGTCTACCAGGACCTCGTCTAGTATTTGGAGGGATATGCAAAGCGGAAACATCTAAAGGAATTTCTCCAGCGCCTCTTGGAGAAGACTGTGTTGATGACACTGATGACGCTGAGTCTGGAGTAGAAGATGGTTCGCCAAATGAGTTCAATTGAGCTAAAAGAAATTTTACAATGGTGATCCACACTTATGGAACGTCTGAAATGTTGTTTATTGAATACCAATAATATGGTTAATTTTGCGACTCCAAAATGACAACAAACACAAATACGATGTTCAGAAACCAACAGGTGTGGCACGTTTAGTGGAAAGTTCCAAGTACAGTGCTGTATCAAATGTTTTTATGCGTCTTTAGAGCTGATCTAGATGTTCCTTAGATGCATTTATTTGATAAGTGTACAGCACACAAACGTGGTAGAAATTCAAATAGTTTTAAAATATTTCTAAAAGTATCAGACCACGGAAAAATAAGTTATGTAATCGAAATTTGTCCATCTTTCTGTAGTAATGGTTCATTTGGTTTGGATTATGAGTTAGACTAATCCTTATTAAAAAAAATGGTGGCATAATTTTGACTGCATATTCCGCAAATTGCTACTTACTATATTTTTGGATTTGGAAAGATATTGAGACTTGAGTTTCTTAATAAATTTACAGTTATGAGATTTATAACAAAATTTATTTTTTTAGCCATCAAAATCGAATGATTATGCGCCCCAACATAAAAGGATAATAAAGTGCCAGTTTGGTTTGAAGACCGTTTTATCCTTAATCACCGGAATTGTTAAAAGCAAAATAAAAACACATTTTGCAAAAAAATCGTCTCATTTGCTTAGTGGCGCATCAACATTGCTTAAGTCACATTTATTTCAGCCACAAAAAAAATTCTACAAGAGACATTAATTCTTAAAACAGCAATATTTCACTAATGAGATAGTTACCGATAATCAAAATTAATTTTAGATAGAAAGATTGAAATTTTGGATGCTTTGGCAAATATTTTTACTCGCAAAGAAATCAAATCAATTATTTTAATATTTTTCCAAATTTCCACAAATTGTACCAATTTGATGAAAGACACACGTAAGCATTTGACAAATTATTGTTCTTGGTAAATTAACCTGTATTTGAAAATTGTACTTGAATCTCTGAATTTTCCCTCAATTTTTCCGGTATGTCTAGATATGGATACTAGATACAATATTCTCAAATTTCATGTTGTTCATTAGCGTATTATAGATTTTAAACTGAGAGTTACCTGATAGTCCGGACGAAATAAATGATTAACTATTAATTTTGATGTTAAGATTTCAGAAGCACTTGTTAAGCAAAAAGACATGGATACTGACGCCACTCGGTTTTTTCGGACTGACTGAAAAGATTATGAAACGAAACTACGTCATCGTAGTTTGGGATTCCACTGTAAAAAAACTAATTGAAAAACAACTGTAGATAACTTGAATTGTTAACTTTCACATCAAAAAACCTTCTGGCTTGTGTTGAGTAAATCCTGAGTCGACGTTTTTCAATAAAAAATTTAGGTTTCCATCTTAATGAGCCATAAAGCACACTAAGAATCAAGATAAAATATGACGGTAAATTAGTAAAGACCGATTATTTACATCTCGAAGATATTATGCAACTCATTGTGTACATTGCATTAATAATGATGTAAATAACATTGCGGTAAAAATTAAGCACACTAAATTAAAGCAATACCCTGAAAATCGAGAATTAAATATGCTCATTTAACATGTAATAGCAAACTATTAAAAACGCTCTTATTGTTCGGTGAATCCAGTTTACCCTATGGGCAAACGAGAATGTACCTACCTCAAGGATGCGATTTAAATGAAAATAGAAACACTTGAGGGTGGGTTGTAAAAAATAAGTTTGCCAGGAACTGAATGTAGGTAGCGACGCAAGTGTGGGACGTAGAAAACCCCAAAAAAAACATTGATTGTGCTTTAAGAAAGAACAGAACAAAAATAAAAAGAGGGGCATCCGACCCAAATCAGAGCAAGGCGGTAACTCTTCCCGGCATCTGGCGGATATCCTTCAGGAAATATATTCAAAGGTGGTTCTAAAAGGTGAAGGTTTTTTGCGCAGGTACCTAGCAGCAACTGACGCTCATTTGCCTATAAAAAAGCGACCAAAAAAGTCGATTTCAAACACGCGCTGCATAAGAAACCCGGAAGTAGAGCTTTAGTTCGGGACCTACTTTTTTAATTTAGGCAGCTATATTAGAAACACATGTGCCGTATTTAAAGCTTTTTACGGTGAGTCTGATTGCCACGAATTTAACAAAATGCTGTTTTTACACTGATAACCTAATTTGATGCAGCTAACCGTCTATTTTTAGTCAACCACAAATTCGTTCTGTTACAGCCGGTGTTAATCATCGATTTTCCGTCGAAAATTCCTGGTAATTATAACGACGTTGAATATCACAAATTTCAATTGTTAAGGTATACCTCACTACTCAAAAACTATAAATTATTACATCCATTTTATAAATGGAAAATCAAGATTATAACGTTCCATTTAAACTAATCTAAATTATTATCCATTCAGGCGTATACAATTCGAAAAAATGTGATATCGCCATCATGGCAAATAAACGGTGGATTAAATTACATTTGCATCTTATTTAATTGAAACAGTTTTTCACTTTGGCCGATTTTGACTTACTCAATTGCAAATTTGTAAAAAAGTTATGACATACGTTTTTTTGAGCAACGAAAACAACAACAGTTTCAAAAAAGGCCTTCCGAGGGCTGTTTCATTATTTGCAATTGAATCACACGATGCCCAGAATCGCATTTGAAGGAACTTATGATGGATAACTACGACTAGTCGTCAAGTTTAAGTTCATTATTAAAATGTTAAATATAAGCCGACCTTCAAAATTAATCCAAGCTATTCCGAATCATATATATTTTCAATTATCAAAGCATAATATTCTTATGCTCTTGAATCATCCAGCAATGTAAACACTAGTTGAAACTGGAAACTTGTTTTAAAATGCAGGGTAAATTGGGGAGTAGAAAGTGAAAATGGATACTATTCAGTAGCACAATAAACTTTTGTTTTGAAAAGTAATAAACACAGTGTGCCCGAAAATTAAAATAATAAACTTTATCAGCAGGCGCTTATGCATGAAAATATAGAATGTTGGCGTAAATGCTTACAATTTAAATGGTTTCGTGTATGTACATACTGAAACGGCAGATAGAATCTAACCGTTGGAACTTGTGGACAGGTCAGCTTCAATGGTATTTTATCAAAATATTAACAACAAAAAATGTTAGAATGTTCATCTCAGTTATAGAAATAAAAAAACTGTATGAAACAAGACAAGCATACTACAGAGAAAAAAAGGAAGGCTATTTCCAGATAACTTAAAAAACTTACTCTTGTTTGACATCGATAAAATGAACCGTTTTTCAGAAAGCGGCTATTATTTAAATCAATTTTTCATTAAAGTAAACTTTTTGAATAAGTGGTTTCAACATGGGCTCTTTGTTCAATAAAATCCCCGCGTTGATATTTATTTGATCGGAAAGGAACATAATTCTTCTCAATATTTCATCCCTAATTTCAACAGCAAAGGAAATGTTTCCAGAGATAAAAGGCCAGTGATTTGAAAAAACTTTTGTGCTTGAAATATTTTTTTCTAAAAAAACGGGTAATTTTATCGATGTCAAACAAGAATCCCTATTTTTTAGCCCAACTTTCAATCTAAAAATAGTGTTCTTAAGTGCTTATCATACAAGGAGTTAAAAATATGAGCATTAATGTGTACAATCTGTTCGGTTCTTGGCAAACTAATTAAGAAAAAATTAGAAATAATATAATCATAAATCAGAAAAATTAATTTCGAACACTATTTTCAGGAGCCTTAACTAGTATCATGAAAAAATATCAAATTTTACCAAAGTAAGCATTTGAAAAGTTATTTGATAAAGAAATTTTTTTTGCGTCGACTTTTAAAGGCCTCTATTTTAGTAGGCCTTCTCATGTTATTTGCACACACTAAGTCCAAAAACATTCCCATATTTCCCGTGACACGTCGTATTATTATTATCATATAATAAGACGTATTTAAGAAACGCATATATATATATATCTCGATTAAATATGCCCCTTATCTCCTTGGATGCATAAATGAATTTTTCGATTGAATATGAAGGTCTTATTTCGGAAGTCTTAAATAGGAATAGAATACCAAGAAAACAGGAAAAATGTGCAATATGAATGCTACAAGATTCTACAAAAAGCACGAAAATATCGAAAAAAGGATTAATGTATCGACTAAAAAATGTATTGTTGTAAAATGCGCGGTTATTTCATCAAAAAATTCACAAGAACTGTTCTGCCTGGAAGGCATATTAAAGAGTAAAATGAGTTCAAACTGTGCAAAACTAAAAATGCAAGGCAAATGCAAAAAGGAAAGGAAAAACCGGAGAATTCGTTTAGCATCATTAATAATTGCTTGATTGATTAATTGTTGGCTTGGAAATGGTTTTTTTAATGAATTTGAAGAATTTTCTTAGATTCTTTGGTAAGTTTTTCACGAATTTCTTTCCCTGCTGTTCATTGCTTTATTTTGTTTTTTTTGAAAATTTGTCATTTAAGATCGTTCTTTCTCCCCTTCTGCTCTGCTGTTTCTCCTCTGCTAATTGAAATTGTAATTTTTATTTTTTCGTTTAGTAAACCGGGATTTTCTATTACATTTTTAACTGTTTCAGAATACCTTGTTTATTCATTAAAAAAAAACACACAAGTTAATTAAAACATTTAAAAAATATTTGTAATATTTGAAGAGAATTGAGGAAAGTAATCACGATTAACAACGGAAAACTAAAAATATTCTAAACTGTTCCAAACCAAAAAAGTGTAAAGCGGAGTCAAAAAAGAAAGAAAAATCCGAATAATTCGTTGATGACCATTGATGATGATTGATTAATTATTGAAAATTGTTGGCTTGAAAATGGTATTTTTGTGTAAATTTTTCTCTGGTTTTCACTATTCCATTTTGTTTGACCTTTCTTTGAAAATTTGTCTTTAAATATTTATTTTTCTTGGCTGCTAGTTAATTTTTAAATTTTATTATTCAAGTTTTTTTTGTCTGCGACGCATTCGTTTTTTATGTCTTTCTAACACCTTTTGCTTTTCTTATACTTCATCTTTGTAATTTCTTCTCTTTGTCAAGACGAAATTATTGCTTTCAGCTGTTTTATTTAAAAACGCAAAGTGAATAGAACGTTTCAGGGTCGTGCGAAAAATCTGAAAAAACCTGAGGAAAATGATCAGAACTGGCAGCATACAAGGAAAATTCTCAAAAATTTCCGATGTTGGCAGAAAATGGAAAATTTTTGGTCTTTTACAACACAACTTTCTTTATAGCTCGCGGTGAAAAGCAACCGGTGTGTGAGGAAATTGACAGACATACTAAAACTACGCTTGTTTAGAAATTTCCAATAGAAAACGGCAGAAAAAAGCTCATTTTTGCTGAACCCAAGTTTCGGCTATATTTAAGCCATCCTCAGAGCTCATGAATTTAGAGTTCTTTCTGTCATGAGCATGCTATGGACCTTGTTCATGACAGAAAGAACACTAAATTTATGAGCCTGAGTATGGCCTAAATACAGTCGGAACTTTGGCCCAAGAAAAATAGCGTTTTTTTTGCCGCTATTGACCGATCACGGGCACCAACAAATCATAACTCGAATTGCAAAAAAAAATATTAAAATATTTAACAGCGGGAATCTAAACATTTTTTGATAATAATCTGATGATCGGACAGTTTGTATATGTATAAATATTTAGATACATTAATAACACTTAAGCTGAAGGATATACGAAATCGATTATCGAATAAAGCCATTTAAAATAATTTTCCCGTAATCTAAAATTGCTTTTTACTCATAACTCTACTCATAACATTTGCTGAAATTTTGAATATTCACATTGTCAATATTACAAGTTAAGTAATTACAATTGATATAATTCCATAGTCACAGATAATCCTTGAATTTCTTGTAAGCGCCACTATTAAGTAATTTTTATATCCAGAAACTTGAAAGTTTTATTAAATACGATAACATTTTAAAAACGTTATGGCGCTAGATTAGACAGTCTAGTAGCACATTTAGTAAAACTAAAAATGTTTAACAAATTGCAGTAAAAAAATAAAAACTTTGTTTTTCAAAAATGAATAGAAGTACGGAAGTAAATAATAAAATCTGAAGTGAATTAATTTCCTTCTTACACAAGTAGAAGCGCCGGCGTTCCTAACTGGAAGGTTCAAGGCAACCAGCTATAAGGTCGTAAAGTGGCATTTTCAATTGGTGAATCAGAACTTTTATTATAAATTAGTATTCTGAATCATTTGCGAATTGATAAGTGTGCTTTAGGACGTTGATGTTCACCTACAAACACACGTTGTTTCTTATAACGATAATTGTAATGGCGCGTTTAAGAAGCTATTCCAAGCCGGTTTCTTAGCGTTGTTTGCCGAACATTGCAAGTTTTGCAAAATTTCACTGTATACTGCACCCACCTGAAAAATTTTCTACAGACCCAAATGAGGTCTTTAGGATGTCCCAGCAACTTTTTGAGAATTTTTTCAGAGTAGCTTCAGTTTGATAAACCTTGTCTACTCTCTCTTTCTCAAAACTTACCCAAAAAACGTAACCTTTCGTTGAAGATGTATACGCCACCAAAATATGTGGCTCAGATGAAATTTGTGGGCCGCATAATGCGAATTTAAAAAAAAACTAGAAAATTTTCAAATGACCGCGAACGCTTTAAACATTTCATGAATTATTTATAGTTTATCCCTCTGAAACAGTCCAAACTTCTTGAATATTATGAAAACAAACAATGACCCTTTGTCATAAAGTACAGTTTTCCCGCGCTTAAACTCAACGATAAATTAAAATTTTATGCAGGTGTCCCGCTTTTAAGTGGGTCACACCATGCGTACCATTCAAATGTTTCAATAACGATCAAAACCCGTATAGAAAAGCTGAAAACGTTGATGATCACTTACCTGAACCTACTCCAACTGTAATAGGACCATTTAAAGGAATATTATTGCGACTTATATTGCCAGCAACCCTGGAGCGAGATCCTCTAGGTCGACCTCTCTTTGTATGACCTCTTCCTGCTGGTCTAGGTCTGACTGCTGACCCATATACGTTGTAGACTGTATATTCTGGAAGGTAAATAACATTATTTAGCATTTTTCATCAGTATAAAAAAGCAAGATCAATAAACTCTAATAATAAAATAAGAATATTAAAATAGCAATATGTGATTAACAAATAATTGACATAACTTACTATTTGTAATGAGTGTATCATCATCATTGATATCAGGTTCATCGGTAGGCCCTTCAAGATCAATTTCACTGACAGGACTCTGCGGCGGGTCACTGATTTCTTGTATAAGATTTGGAGGATCCATTTTCGCCCTCTTCGCGTCCGCTGCAGGAATTGTCTGTTAGCAGACAAATTTTATGTGAGAATTATGCAGTAATTAATGCATCTACAACATTCACTTTTACCTTAAAAGATAATTTTCGCTTTTTATCGTCTCTTGTTTCCTCTGGCGTCGACTTGTTTTCGACTTTAAGGTGATCTAAATAAAATAAATACATTATTAATGTGGCGTTTCCCAAGATTAAAAAGCAAACGTACATTTTTGAACTAATTCGTCGTCATCAAGAAGAAGCGAAACCACTTCTTTAGGCTTCAGAGTATCGGGCTTGAAATTTCCTCCGCTTATGACTAGTTTTTGTATCTGGAAATTTTACATAATATTGAATGGGAAACAATTTTAGTGCCCGGAGTTAATTAACATTACATCATGTAAAGTAGTCGCTCACATATTAGGGCTTACGGTCGGATTTTAAATTTATATATTCAATGCTCACGCAAACAGGAGTGATTAAACAAAATATGTTTTACATATTTCAGGAAATATTACAAGCAAACTAAAATTTAATTTTAAAGTTTAAAAATCTCGGAAACATTAAACTTTTAATGAAAAAAATATCTAGTGCTTTTTAGTCAGTAAGTAGTAAATTAATAAATCATAAATTTATAGATTCATAAATGATCCAACCCGAATAAATTTTAAACTAAAATTATTTTGATATTGGGGAAAGCATTTAATCATGTAAACCCATTTTGAATCTCATATCAGTCTTTCTCATAACTCAAATTGTCTGCTGCATTAATCAGAATCAACCTTGAAGCATTTGTGTAAAAATGCATACATTTATCAGTTTAGAAAAATAGTATACTGCATAACTGAATAGCTGGACACATGCGCTTATTTTGGGTATACAAGAATACAATTTTAGTCTAAAACCGCAAATTCTGGCTTTGACTCGCGTTGCCACAATGAACAAATAAAACATTCAGAGCAAGCCTCCCCTAGTTCCCATTTGAAATAAAGCAGCAGTTGGTTTTTAAAAAAAGTCAATTTGTCTGTTGACTCTCATTAAGAAAACTTCTCCGAATAGCAAAACCCCAAATAAACTAAATATCAAACGTGTTTTTGTCGTTCAAAATATAGTCAAAGTAAGTAAAAACCCCAACTTTGGTGACGCGCCTTAAAAAAGTTGTACGTTTATAAGAAAAAAACAACAGAGACGATGTTTCATTCATCATTAATCATACGTGTTGACCATATAGAAGTATATAGGTACTGGTAGTTGCCTCTTGCATTTTTACTGTTAGTAGGTTTAATAATGCAAAACCAAATGCTTTTTACCTCGCTTTTTTCCCTTGCCCTTTGCAATATACGTTCTTCTATTGATCCTTTGCATATCAACCTATACACCGTGACTTGTTTCGTTTGACCTAATCTGTGAGCTCTGTCCATCGCTTGTTGGTCGACGGTTGGATTCCAGTCACTATCGTAGAATATTACCTATAATAAAATATCCTTATTCAGATTCTTCCTGAAAACGTTATTAAACCAAGCCCAGCCTGAGTAGTGTGAAAAAAACAAAATAGTCATTTTATGGCCAAATTAATTGTGCATTAATGTAACGTTCATGAATATTTGGCGACTGGCGAAATGAAATTTCACACGATCACCTCACGTACTGTCGTATTAAAATTCAATATATTCTTAGAATATTATCGTTTAACATATTCAGTAGCTCATACTCCTGCAATTTATATTGGCCGCACGTTCTCGCATTATAACTTAGTAACATAGTTAGCTAGAAAAACATTACCTTATAATAATTTTAAGTCGTATTTTCCCATATTGTAGGCAATAACCCGGAAACTTATATGAATAGCTTAAATGCAAAATGCATTTTTTTGCTGTTTTAAACGTCGGTCTATGGCTCTGAACAACTTCGAATGGTTAAGTAAGCTGCAAAAGGTTTATGTCTAGGGTAATACGTTTTACTGTCTGAATATTTCCAAAAGGCTTCTTATCTAACACAATTGAGTTGATTCTTTCAGTTCAGTAAACTGGAAAAGAATTGTAGGTAATGACTTTTGGCTACGGAATAACGCAGCTGGCTGGAAGATAAACTATTTCAGCAATCCACACTTTTGTCCAGCTCTTTCAGACGTCAATAGATGAATAGTACCGTGTATTATCTAGGATGTTTAGTTCAAAATGCTTTTCACAACCTGCCATGATCGCAGTATAATTAATGTCAAGCTTGGTGCTTTTGATTTAAAGTAATTTAGAAATGTCCTCTAAACAATATCTGATGGTGGCTACGAGAATACGATAGATGTTATACCTACATTAAACATATTTTGGAAAAAAATTATTGCTAATAAATAAGAAGACTACTGCACGAGATGTTAAATCAGCTTGATACTCTTCTGAATCATCTCAAATTTCCACTTTACACGTGAATATCGCTTCCACTTATCAAACATCTAAGACGACCTTCTAGTGTGACAAAATTCCTGGTAACGTTACACGTCAAGGTACTCGACCAAACTGTGCTTCGAGGCAATTATTCTTTTAACAATGGCAGTTAAAATCATACCCCCCCGAAAATCTTGATAATAAGCAGTGTTGTCCAAATAAGATGTGAAGTGGCTGCAAATTCACTTCCCGATCCTTAAAAGTATGAATAAGGGTAGTGCTGGGTAACGCGATATGAATGATCCGGAAATGTAGAGACCGTCATTTCCTGCCTTGCACGTGTACAACCACCTACCAGTGAACAAGACCCTAAAACTTTTGCACAACGCCCTCAATATTTAGTAGAGGAAAGTTCACGCATACGTGTTCCATTCAAGTTCAAGTCCGGATATAGATGGATACATTCTTCGTAAAAACTATAATAAATAAATTGTAATTATCGCACAAACAATAAACAAGTGAACACGAATCGTAATGCGTCGATAGAAAATAAAATTAATTTATATTCAAATTGGAAAAGCAAGTAATCAAGTGTAGAAACTAAATTAGTTTCCTTTTACATATCAGTTATTTCCTGTTTTCACTGATCTCACTGGATATTAATATTGTTGTTAAATCATTACTCATTGAAGGAGACTCGGAAAGAGATTTTAAAATATTACATTACATTTTAAACCCATCTTTCCAAGCCTTTGCGCTTTGCATCTTCAGAAATGATATATTCTAGTCGCTCTCTAAGATATTTCGCAAAATTATAAAAGATAATAAAAAAGTTATTATCCTAAGAGTCTTCGGTGGCTCAAAATATGATGACATCCCCGTTAATAATCATAATGAAGTTGATACACTTATATGAATGCGGCAAGCTGTATTATTTTATTGAACACACAATGCACAAAGAAATTCAATTAAGTGTATCAAGATCAAGAAAATCCCCATAACAATTTTTATTTATTGATACAGTGCTATTTACCAAGAGCTGTAATTATTCTGTTGCATAAGCGCAAGAACAAGCTAAAACCAATGTAGAATAAAACTAATAAAATATTAAGGAAGTGCGAGGCTTAAGTTCAGCAAAGAAATTCTAGATTAATAATTCTGCGTTGAAGGCACCTATGGAAAAGATCAGTGCATGTATTAATCGAAAATAAATAGGCAAATGCTACTGTGCAATGATGAATTCATGATAAAGTGTACTGGTTGTCAAGCAAAAAATATTCCGATGTTTTGAAACGCCTGGCATTTAGCTCTCATCGGTATTTTTTTTCTAAAATTGCATTAACGCGATTGAGTACCAAAAGCAAATTTGATTGGATTCCTCGCTTTGGTTCGATGGAAATCAATTCAATTGCAAAACTCAAATGCTTTTTCTTAACAAAATGGTAAATAAATTGCTAAGGAAAGAGATAAGTATATGTAAGCATTTCTGAACCGTATTGGGAATTGAGTGGGAATCTTAAAATTGCAACAGATACAGGGCCTTCCATTTGAAATTCCTGAATAGTAACAACAAATTCCCAATAAAATTGAATTTAATCCAGTTTAAGTCATTTAACATCTAACGTGAATATCTGAAGGAGTAGGCGGTACCCGTAAAATTATCATAATTAATAAATGGGAACTACATTCACTTTCGTATCTGTTGAGGTCTGACTATGATGATTACACAACAAATTTGAATCTGATGGAAGTAGATCATTTATAGTTGAATAATAGAGCATTAAATCAAATATAACAAATAAAAACAATTTTTTTCAGTTATTGCTTCATTAAATATTGCATGTTCTCTGCATAAATTTGAAGAAAATCCACTTAAGAAGTTTATAAATACTGCAAACTTGTCCGATCGTCGTCATCATTATTTTAAGAATCATAGCTTAGACTCACCCTGTAAAATTGCTGTTAAATGGGTGTATTTTGCAATAACAGGAAGAAAAGAATGTATGTCTCTCTTTTGATAATGTCACATTCTCCTGTATGTTCTAAACCTGATTCGAATAAATAACCAGTACCAAACGGCATTGACATTATAACAAATTATCGATTGCTATAGGTGATTTAATTCATAAGTACAACGATGGGACGACCCGAACAAACTGCATGGATATTTCCGACAATCTATTGTAAAGTACAGCATTTCAAGTATACTTTTGAGGTAATGATATTGTCTATATTACTTTTAAAATTTTGTTAAAAATGTTCGATAAAAATACGATTTGTGTAGGCGGGATAGAGCCTAGGTTTCTTCAATAATTAATGTTACACAAGAGGTTACTTATGTGGCGGAAACCCGACAAGACTAACTCGGATATACAAAAGAGGGCAGAAGTGTCCAAAAATCGAATTTTCAGTCACCATTTAATAAGAATTTGGCAAAACTACTAAGACTGAGGTTTACTCACAGATTCTCAGTTAAATTTAAATAACTGGGTCAAATCGGAAATTCCTTAATTCATTCAAAATTAACTTCTTAGAAAAAATCCCAGTCGTACAAAGTATATAAAATATTATACAAAGAAATGCCAATAATCTACAAAAATAAAAAACGTATCTAATCAGCAGGATGAAGTACCAAATGTATGAATATCACTAATTTTCAATGTTGAAAATGAAGCAACTTGACAACTGCATTCCAAATAATCATACTAATTTAAGCAAGGTCTAAAATGTTTGTGCCAATTGGTACAAAAAATTGTAACCTACTAACAAGTTCAATTCAAATATTCATCCAAAATAATGTAAATGGGAACCATATTTCAGTTTATCGACAAATACAACCAAAATGTTTTAAGACCGATACTATAGCCAGAAAGCAAAATAATTGTCTTCTTTTCCTGCCTAGCAGGCTTCATTCCTTATATCGAAAAATCGAAAAAACAACGATTTTTTAATAGCGTAGCAGCAGTGTGGATGTTCATGAGACAAATAAAAAAAAAAAATTCACAATCAAACAGTCGGTTCTCTTTGGGGCCGCTATAAAAAACGCCTATAATGGAACTTCAGAATGAAACAAGCCATTAATTTTCTAATAATTCACAAAATGTTCGTTTGTAAATAAAATTTTAAAAAACCAATTTTATGCTAACAATTATTTTTTTTTATCATGAAGCATGAACTTCGAATACTAAATGTTTTGAGTTGTTCAATGTACAAATCGTCTGTTAAACAATTGAATGCCAATACAAAAAACTTAATTCGCAAATGAAGAGATTTGTACCCGTTAACATCAAACCATTTATGTGCAAATATTTTAAAATGTTCGTTATAAAGTTTAATTTTTAATTAAAAAACGGATGCTGCTTATTTTGTTTGTAGCTTAGGCTTTTGTGCGTCATGAAACTCCATACTTGGTGGCAAAAATTGGATCAGATTAAAAAAGCCATCAGGCAGGAAATTGAAAAATAACAGAGAGACAATTGAGAGTAATAACAGCTTTATGCTAAGCTGAAGCTTGCAACGTTTAACTCAGTACTTAATTTTCTCTTAAGGATTTTATAAAATATACAATTTGGAAATCAATCAAAGGTTAACAATATCATAGCAATAAGATACAAAAATGAATTTTTTAGAGCTCGTTTTGTTTTTATTGGGTTTTAACCCAGAAAGCGAAATTTGAATATCAGACACTTAGGTGCAAGATTATGCCAAAATATCATGTTTTCCGTCCCGTTTTTGCTCATTTCTCGGAAAAAAAAGATCAAGAACGCCCGTTTATACATCAATCATGACGCTGCTTTTTCCGAAGTTTCTCAATCCTCATTTGAGCCACAGAATTCGTTTCATCACCGTTGGACAGAAAATTGAAAATTCGATTCAGTCATAACAACATGAGTGAGGAAATTCGAGTCGTTTTGACCCAGAAAACGAAATTTGAAAGTCAGACAGTTAGGTGCAAGATTATTCCAAAATATCATGTTTCCGTCCCGTTTTTGTTCATTTCTCGGAAGCAAAATGAGCAAGAATATTTATTTTTTACAGCATTCCAGAAAGAACTAAATGACCTTTTTAGAAAGTGGAGCAGATTTATAGTCGATAGAAATGTTACAATAAATTTGTTCCCGATAGTGTTGCAATGTAAAATTACAACACTTTTTTAAATTTATTTCCAGTCACCACGGGAGCTATTGGCTGGATAATAACAACAAACATCAATAAAATTCATCGTGGAAAGCAAATCCAGAGATGTTTTGCAACCAAATTTTTTGAGGCATTTATTGATGCCAAAAACCGACTTATTAATATTGAGCGTTTTAAACGACTGTATTGAACAAAAAAATAATAATATGCTTAAATGAATTTCAATTGGCACAATTTTGTAATAAAAAAATTGTTGCCCTTAAAAATAAGTGTTTTAAATATATTTTTAGTACTATTTATTTAGTTATTTTATTCTGATCTGATTTTCGATAACTCCAATTATTTTTTACATACACCGTTACTTTTATGAGAAATGTTGACAAACCTCATTGCGAACAGCATATTAATTAATTAGAAAAAATAATTATCTGCTCAATTATGCACCCCTTTCAGGCTACATTCGAAACGAAACCTTTCTCGACTGCTTCTAAAATCTATTGGCCTAATATGCGTTTGATTCGGAATACAAGATCTGTGAGAGATCGATGAGAGAGAGTGTAAAGAGCCAAAGTTGAACAAATTTCCAACTGAAAAATTATTTTAGAATAATACGAAAAATAACATTACAATTGATGTAAATACAAACATAGCGAAAACAATTAACCGCAGCAAGCTTCAATAAGGTCAACGGCCGAATAATCTGCGAACAATCTGATTTTATTAATAAATAATAACTAAATATGCGAGGAAAAAGTTTTGATGGATTGAATCAGCAAAACGTATGATACAGTATGCCCTTTAGCGGCTATAACAATTTAGTATCGTGGGAAATTTGTTTTTTTTCGTTTTGCAAGCACCAGTAGGTTGCTTGCATCTTCAGAGGTGATTTCTCAAACAAAACACCTCCGAGTTCTCACCAGGTTCAATAGTAAATTTGCAAATTTATTTTGAGCGTTTTCCATTTATATTTTTTCATAGTTATCAATGGATGCAGTAACAATCGTGCAGTTTGTATTTGACGTCGCATAACGGATGCAGCGTCCACGTACTTCGACAAACATGCTGGGAGAATCACGTTGAAAAGTTCTCAGCGAATCCACGGCAATCGGTCGACGTCAGAGCATTCCGCGGCCACGGACCGTCCATTAACAGGTAGCGTCGCAAAGAATACGAAATTCGAGGCAAAAACTGTCCGAAAGGCAGACTATGGTATGCAAATAATGTTGTCGCTTCTATTTTAATCTTTTTTCTGTTTGGATTGTTCTCATCAGGCCCAGAACGTAACTGGTTACCCATTTGTCCCGGAGATTTATTGCTGAGCTCCGATCTAGCATCACGAAATCCACCGTTAACTGTACAATAAATTCATTCACTTTTTCTCCGCGCTCGTTTGCGATTTGCATATTCATGTAATCAATTTAATGTTCTGCATTGTTTTTTTCTAATTTGCGGTCAAGCAACATATTTAATTAACGCCAAAAAATACTATCGGAAGAACAATTACATGAATGGCATATTGAATAAATACTATTTGCATTTTAGTATATTTTGTTAATCCAATTAACTAAATCGGTAAATGTCCTTTCTAGTCAACTTATGTAACGGAGGTCAATTATTATGAGTTATTTTTGTACATAAACTTCATTTTTTCTTTTACGGAAAAAGTTTATTTGAATTATGTATACGTCTTTTTTATTCTGCAAGACACATTATCAATTTCGCTTTAAAAACCTTTGAAAATATCCCCTCGACATTACAAATCGAACCCTGCATGAAAACATACAGTACAACTAAAATCAATTTTAATTAAAAATATGTGGTTTGTGTAATGATCACATAACTTGTAGGTTGAAAAATATTGTAACTCAGCCAAAAAAAAAGACATGAAAATAAATGGTAAATTTTTTTAACCTAAAAAATTTTGAAAAAAAATTAATGGCAAATTCTCATCCGATAAAAGGTAGAAGAAATTTGAATGTTCAAAAGATTGCAGTTGTATAATAGTCGTGGAGAATTTGACTGCAAATACGATACATAGCTACAAATGTACTGAAAATGATTTTTACGATGCGAACAATGCATTTAAATACCGAATTTGACGAAGAAAAACTACATATAGCAATTAGTAATAAAGACAAATGAAAATAAACGGTGAATTTTTTTAACCTAAAAAATTTTGAAAAAAAATTAATGGCAAATTTTCATCCCAAAAAAGGCAGAAGAAATTTGAATGTTCAAAAGATTGCAGTTATATAATAGTCGTGGAGAATTTGACTGCAAATACGATACATAGCTAAAAATGTACTGAAAATGATTTTTACGATGCGAACAATGCATTTAAATACCGAATTTGACGAAGAAAAACTACATATAGCAATTAGTAATAAGTTATGACTGAAACTTAATAACGATATTTTTACAAACCCGAACATCCTGTGCTCGCACTGACGCGGATCCATCTGATTTTCCAACAGATTAATCAATATTTTAAAACGTCCCAATAACAGCTTTTTTGCTGAATAATAACGATTAAAGGATATTGCGACCATTTGTTACGATGCCAGCCAACGCTTAATGCCTTGCACCGTTTGCCCATGGCTTGCCTAAGCAATACGAAAATTGAAAACCATTCGCAAAAAATATATGTTCCAAAGAGCAAGCCATTTTCATTAATTTCAATAATGCCTTCGAAATGTCGTAATTAAAAACAGTACTTTAAGATGCTGCTGCCATTGAAAACAAAGCAGGTTTATGTGATGCAGGGTGTTTTAAATTCAATCACCAAATATGCAAATTAAGGATTTCGAAAACACCACCTTCCACTTCGACCCACTTATTTGCGAGTTTATAAATTGGTTGCTTGACTGCTAATGCCTCTGCACATCCAGCTATAGCCGCAATATGCATTGAGAAAATTTCGAACATTATTTGAAAATTGAGAAATATCCAAAGAAACTTCAGCCAAATGATCCAAATTTATGAGGCCTATTCACAATCTTATAAAGTTTTTAAGGCACTTGTGAGTCAAGTTGTCTTTGGGGACAAAGTTCTCAAAGATATTTTTCATTTACTTTGTCAGTTTTCTATAAATTTTTGTTAGTTTTTTAATTAATGTATCTGAAACAAATACAAATCGGACTTCGGTATATGAGATTCTTTGATTTATTATAAGTTTATTGTAACTAAATCAGCAAATGTTTCGTACGTTCATAATCGTACCGTCTATTTAATTACGACAGTTTTCCTGTAAACTAATGTAATAATACAGGAAATATAGAAAAAGTCCTGGAAATAATGAAACGAGTTTCTTGACACCGCTACTCATTCGCCAAATAATGGAATAATGGAATAAGCACACTTTAAACGGAAGAAAATAACAGCTTACTTGAGGATTAGTGCTCAGTTTATTTTGAACTTTTGGAAAAGTGGATAGCAAGCTAACCAATGAGAACTTTGAAACTGCTGAAAAATGAAGTTTAGATGTCCAAGTTGCAATTATCTCAGAACTCTTAGAGAACAAACAAACTTTTGCATATACCTGACGACTTTTCGTAGGATTTACTAAATCCAATATCAATTACGTTCATACTTCAGATGTTTTGATCTGAAGTACTAAACCTCGCCTTTTCGTATTACGAATTATTTCAGTTTTCAGTTACGGATGTCGTCTATGTTAATACGAATAAAGCCCTTTATTATTATTATTGGATGTTGTAATTGGATAAAGAAAATGTCTGATATACTTAAGGTGCCACTAATGACTGAAAGTAAATCTATCTCAATTCAGTTGTTCCAGTTGAGACCTATAAGTTCTTGTATTTAAACGAAACAGATAGTGTACCGTAATTTTGAAAAAATTTTAACTTGAAATTTAGTTGTTATTTATATATTTTATATATTATATATTGTTTTAAAAATTGTGAAGCCACCGCAAAAAATTATAGAATGCACTTACCGTATCTGCAGCAGTCAGGTTAATGCCAAGTCCTCCGGCTCTTGTGGAAAGCAAGAAAACAAAAATATCAGCTCTTGCTTGGAAGTCTGCCACCATATCTCTCCTTTCAGATATTTTCGAAGATCCATCCAGTCTCATGTATTTATGATGCCTGTGCCACATGTATTCCTATAAGATTACCATTATGTATATCTCATAAGCCACACATCACATCATTAAAATCATCACATATTTAAAGGTACTTAAGTAACAGTATTACCTCTAGTAGGTCAATCATCTTTGTCATCTGAGAGTAAATCAGAACTCTGTGTCCACCTTCCTTCAACTTCTTTAATAAGCCATCCAAGACGAACAATTTTCCAGAATCTGTCACCAAACTTTCTTTGTCGGGTATTGCAATATTTGACCAGCCACCAACAGGCAAGATACTCTCAATACAGTTCTGTGGCCCAGGATTTAAAGCATCAACTGATTTAGATCTGAATGCATTTCCAGTAACCTCAGACCAATAGTAATTTAACGAATTAAAACTATAATCATCTATATGTCGTTGCAAATCCCATGCTGCTCTTCTTGAATAACAATATGAACTCAATAGAGGAGCTGTACACTAAAAAAATAAAACTTTAGAAACTGGAATTTCTAGCGTTAAAAATATCTACCTTTGGCATAGCGAATAATAAGTATGAAGGCATTTCAGTCTTTTCACAAGCAAATAGTTTCGATGGTCGCTTAACATGTGGGAATTCGAATATTGGAGCAACTACCTTTTCAACTTCAATATCGACATTTTCTTCTTCGCTTGACTTCTCTTTTTTAAATCTTATATTTCTGTGCTCAACAGTTTCAGGCATTGAAAGATACATATGATCTGTGTGGGTGTATACTAATCTATTCGCCTTCATGTTGCGCACGAACATCAAATCTGTTAAAACACTGCTAGATTCTATTTGTTGGCTACTTAATTTAAAATCCTGTTTAATGCTTAAAATTGGTCTAGAGTGGTAATTGGGATTCCATAACTTCCTGTCAAATAATGTGTGTTCTCTCTTCTCAAAATCGAAATACGATTTCCATCTTGCTGCTATATTTCCCAACATAATATTAAATATTTCTCCTTCTGAGATTCCAAGAAACCGTAAAAAGTTAAATAAACTGTCCGGTGAAGTGCAAGACCTGGCAATTAATGCTGGGATAAAAAGCAGCATTTTATTAATTTTCAGAAACATTTCCTGTCGCACATTCGTCTTGTAAACCAGATAGGGAACATTGTAAACTATCGGCTGTATTCGCATTGGGGACTTCGCATCTCTTCTCTCAAATAACTCTGGATGATTGCAGACCTAGAATAGGTATATCTACATTCAAATCCGTTCTTTCAAAATGTACATGACGATCTTACAGAAACAAAAACATTAACTGAATATTATTTACCACCCTTCAAAATTAATGAATTTTAATTGCAATAATTGCTGTTTGGTTCACTAATCCATCCGACAAATTACAAGTCGTAGTAGTGTTTCATTATTAAATTATTGAAACAACAATCGTTCAGTTTAGTAAATAGAATAAAGTAGCTATTTTCGAAAACTGGGTACCGTTGTAAACTATTCAATACTGATTTTTCGTTAAGAAATATTTGCCAAAATTGCAAATCATGTTTCGTAATTGAATAGCCACTAAAATTAAACACATCCACCATCGTGTCAAGCAAAAACGAAGTTTTCTTCAAATACGAGAAATAAGACAAGACGCAGTTGGCATTGAATGAAATTATAAAAAGTTAAGGATTATTCTAGATTTCTGCAGTTTCGGACCAATTAAAAACAGAATTTTTCTTACCTTTCTAAACTGCATAACTAAATTCATAAGATTTGAGGTGAAATTTTTATCCACATTATGAGAATCGCCGCCTCCAACTGAATAATGCAGTAAGTCCTCAATCTTGATTTTCTGCTTCAATGCTAGGTAAAGCAAATTTTGTCTGGTCGTCAATGGGCAATACACCATCACTTCAATTTTATCTGATAGTTCATTCTCAACATCTTTCTTGATCCTTCTCAGCATGAAAGGTTTCAGAATCATGTGTAATCGAGACAAATGTTCTGAAAAAAAAGAGTGGTAAAAAATTAAAATAAGAATTGCTTTAGTATTAATTTAGCAACAAGCCTATTTAAAAATATATGAACATACTAACTTTCATCTATTCCGGTTTTATTTTCTGCATGACTCTCAATATCTTTGGAAAACCATTCATTAAATTCATCATGCGAATCAAAAAGCGTTGGCATGATAAAATGCAGAAGAGCCCAAAGTTCTGCCATGCTATTTTGAATAGGGGTACCACTAAGCAACAACCTGTTACGGCAGCTAAATCCAAGCAAGGTTTTCCATCTCATTGAACTAGTGCTTTTAATCGCTTGAGCTTCATCCAGTATCATGTACTGCCACTTAATCCGGTTGAAATACTTTATATCAGTAATAACAATCTAAAAAGACACAACATCGATAACTCGCCAAAAGTTTGAATTAATTGAATCAATGTAATGTAGAATACAAAGGAACGGAAATTGACCTGATATGAAGTGATAACAATATGGAAACTAGCATCTCTGGTATATATGTCCTTCTGATCCCAAAACTGTCTCAGTATTTTCCTTTCATTAGGATTTCCCCAATATGGAACAACTTTGAAATCGGGAACAAACTTTGCAATTTCCTGCTGCCAATTATGTAACGTTGACGCAGGTGATATTATTAAAAATGGGCCCCATACAGCTACAAAAAATTATACGTAAATGAGTCAATTTAATCGGGGAAAAATGCTTTAAAATAGGTTATATAAAGCACCTTTTTGCAACCTATTCAATAAAAAAAGATCCCCTAAAACACAAATATAGCAAAATCCAAAAAAATAAGTGTTCAAATTTAAACCAGCAATTGTCGTTTACAAAATCTGAAAACAAAATAATGTTTCATATTTTGACGTAATAGAAAAGAGAAAATTATTATTATCTTGGTTGGAAACGTTCATTTACAATTTTCAAAAATTGTTTGTATGAGACAATAACTAACAACGAGCTCTTTTTCATGCGAAAAAAATACATACATATTCCAGAGCTTTAAATATGTCCTTTGCTTAGGTACAGACAATATAATTAAGAGTGTTAGCTTGATTTGTTTAAATGTCTCGATATTAATACAATAAATTTGGAGTAAAAAACAGCATGCTGATTTATATGCATATTATAGCAATTACTAAAGCACTTTTGATAGTCTGCCCAACAAATACAACATAAATAATAACATACAGATTATACTCACAATATTTTTCAGCAATATGGCAAAGAAACGCAATGCTTTGGACTGTTTTTCCCAAACCCATTTCATCAGCAAGAATACCACTAATTCCTTGAGAATACAAATTGGCTAACCAATTCATTCCTTTTAACTGATAGCCTTTCAACTTCCCTTTAAACATATTTGGCTGCGGTTGTTCCCCATCAATATTTTCGAATTCAGTAAGGCAAGATTTTGCTTGGTGATCAAAATTTTTTGTTCTAGCTTTCTCACTCTGGAATGCTTCTTGAGCATTTCTTTTAGCTTTCTCTTTCATTTGTTCGGAATCATAATCATCACCAGTTAGTTTCAATATATTCTCCTCGTCCAACTGGCTTAAGATTCTAAGTTGCTCTTCTGTAGATGCTGTGCCTAATTTCTTAGACATAAAGTGAGCATACAATTCAGTTTGAGTTATCAAAAAGTTTAATTTTCTTTGCTGCCTTTTAGCTTCAATCAATTCATGATCAATTTTTCTTTGCTCTTCTGCCTCTTTTTCTAGCCGTTTTTTCACTTCCCTATCAAAACGCCTCGATCGTTTCCAGTAGGCAATATTTTCTCTAGCTAGTCTTTTCATTCGCCATTGCTGCTCCTTAACCGTTCTTGCCGATTGTAACTAAAACAAAGCGCAATTTAAGTTATTTTGAACACGCAAATAATAAATGTAGAACCTACAGCTTTCTGCCGCGCGTATTTAACACAATGGGATGCAACTCGCTTGCACTGTAACAACATTTCTTTATGCTTATTGCTTTTAGCTCTATGCTGTTTGCCTATCTCTTTCTTTGCAATACTGGTAAACATTTTTCTTCTTTTAACTGTCATGATTTCTTCCCATTTGCGTTTCGCTTCGTCATCTTTAAATTTCTTTACTCTCTTCTTTGATGAAGCATGGTTCATAAGGCCATACATGGGAGGTGGAATAGGAGGAACGTTGGATGTAATGCTTGAATTTGAGTAATCAGGCGTTCCATTGTGATCATCTATATCTCCATCTAGGTTGGGAAATTCATTAATTCCATTTTCAAGATTTAAGTCCAAACATGGCTCATCCTGAAGAAGATATTATCAAATATAAATATAAAATGTAAGTTCAACACAGCACGTACCACTGAAATATCATCTAAAATATCTGCGTCATAAAAAGGTGATCTAGTTTCTTCTTTATGTGAAGCTATACCCATTTTTCTCATATTTAAAGGGAGTTCTTTTTCGATTTCAGGATAATTATCAACAGCACTTATCAACCCAGCTCCATAGTACATTGACTGATTAAAATTCTAGAAACCAACATACATTTTCAAATCTAATCTAACCTAATGACACGATATTGAAAATTGCATTGGTCGTACTTACCACCTTGTTTTTCCTCAGTTTTTTCTGATAAGCATGCATTTTTAACAGACATTTATATGGAGCATCCTCAGGCCCAGTATCTATGTTTTCTGACAATACATTAGCCAACCATTTACGACTCGTAGAAACAGTTTCGAAATTGTAGTAGTCTTTTGCTGAATGTGGCTCCTCTTTGAATAGTTTTTCAATCGAATCAGAATAATTATTATCATCACTACTATCACTGTCACTACAATGATCATCTGCTTCGAATGTATTTAAAAAGGGTTGCAGATTTAACGCCTGTTCAAGTCTACGAAGATGAATTGGCTTTGCAGAATTGGCTCGACTCTCAGAATGCCTCATTCCAAAATTGTTTGAATCTAAAATAAATACAGTATATAATAGTGGTACAATAAAGCACATGAAATATAGTTCAATTAGCTTCTAAGTAAGGTAACATTAGTATAATACTTTCATAATGAGTTAGGTTCATATAGTATACTTGCTAAATGAATTGTTTTAATAAATATAAGTGGTTTAATGATTTAATAACAATAGAAATTTGAGAACAAACCATGAGTTGATTTTGTAGACGCAGTATTGTGGATGTGGTTCTTTAAATTATTCGCCATAATTGGAGGATTCTTCTTATTTCCCATGTATATTATGCAACATAAAAATTTATTTAATAAAACATTGCATTGATGGGGCTATAAATTTTTGATCAAATATAACCTTAAATTTTGGAAGTTTGACAGTGAATTAATAAACCTTGACCGGCGCAAGACAGTCTACCACAGCATAGGCTGATCGATTATGACGTCAGAAATTCAATACTCTTTTGTGATTGCAATTATTGTAATTATTATTGGACATAAATACAAATTTATAAGAATTTTATATAAACCTATTATATAATAGGAATATATTATATTAGGACTATCTAATGTTCTTAACTGTTTTAATTCTGTTCTGAAAATATTACTTGCGTCCTTGTGATAAATAGTACTCCATAATTAGGTATAAGTGCAAACGATTTACCGTGATTTTATTATTTATATCTACAGTAACGGGGTACCAAATATAACGACATTACATATATCAAATTAAAAGCTAAGAAATGTGTATAAATGCAAACCATAAAGATGTTTTGACTTAAAAAAACAATTATGCAAGAATTTTCAGTAAAAGATTCAATTGAAAATAAACTACGTCATAATCGGCCGGCCGAGATCGTGACCTTACAAGTTCCCATGTCTAGTTCAATATAACTCCAAAGATGTGGAGAAAAGGCTTTAACCTGAATGTTGCAATGTTTTGACGTTTCGTGTAAAACAGCAGACAGTTATTGTTTGTGTGTTTCTCAGCAAGAAGGCAAACATATGTTATTCATTTAAAATGAGTTCTTTGGAAGATTTAAAGCAAAGAGTGGCCGAACTGGAAAGCGAGCTAGCAAGTATTAAGAAAAAAAATGTTGGAGCCAGAGAAAAAATTACCAATATGTCTTCAGAAGTTGTAGATAGTAATCCGTACAGGTAGAGACAAATGTCCTTTCACTGATTTGTTTGCTTAATTCCTATATTTTTCAGTCGACTGATGGCTCTTAAAAGGATGGGAATCGTCAATAACTATGAAAAGATCAGAGATTATACGGTAGCTGTTGTGGGAGTCGGAGGAGTTGGTAGTGTAACTGCAGAAATGTTAACTCGATGTGGCATTGGACGTTTAATTCTATTCGATTACGATAAAGTAGAACTTGCTAATATGAATAGATTATTCTTTCAACCACACCAATCTGGTATGAGCAAAGTTGAAGCTGCAGCTGAAACTTTAAAAAACATTAATCCCGATGTTGACATTATTACTTACAATTACAACATAACTATCGTCGAAAACTTTGATGATTTCACGAATACGTTGACGTAAGTAATTACTGAACTTTTATTTTTAAAAGCGTTAGGCTTAGAAACTGTCGAGTTTAATGGGTTTTTAGACCGTTGTGGAAAATAAAGGCCCGATAAACTCACCAATTTCAAAAATTATTGTGCTTGATATCTGTCTCAGTTAGACATTAGCTCTAATAGTATATACGTTTTGTAGAACGAGTAGTTTAACAAAAGGACCAGTAGACTTGGTGCTAAGCTGTGTTGATAATTTCGAAGCGAGGTTTGCCATAAACACTGCATGTAACGAGTTTGACCTAACATGGTTCGAATCAGGGGTAGCGGAAAATGCGGTTTCAGGCCATATTCAGTTTATATGCCCTGGAGACACTGCATGTTTTGCTGTAAGTAAAGTTAAACCAGTTTATTCTCATATCTCTTATAAAATTTTTAGTGTGCTCCACCACTCATTGTTGCATCAAACATTGATGAAAAAACACTTAAACGTGATGGGGTGTGTGCCGCTAGTCTTCCAACTACAATGGGAATCGTAGCTGGATTTTTAGTTCAAAATACATTGAAAGTAAGTTTCAAAATTGATGTTATTGTAATTTCAGTTAACAAATCAAAGCCCCAAATGTGATCATAATGAACGCATAAAGCAAGTAACATAACATACTTAAAGCAATTCGAGTAGTAGAAAATGAGCTAAAAATGTCACGAAATATCGTTTAAAAATACTTTCGCCATTTTTTTAGCCAATGTTAAAGTAGGGAATAATGTTTTGCCTTGTACTAACTGTTTATGTTTTAAGTTTATCTGAATAATGCAGAAATACTACTAATTTGTAATAAGTTGAACTATTTTCCATCTAATATAGCAATAATAACAAAGTTAACGATCATCATATCATCAACTTAATATTAATTAGTTGCAGTACAAAATCTAATTTTCCTTTCTAGTTTCTCGCCTCAGAAAGATCCCGATGCAAAATTTCGCTCAAATTACAATAAAATTATTACAGTTTTTCAAAAATCAATATTTTTTATATTAAGATAAAAATGTTATTTTATTTTAAATTATTAATTTATTTAACTATGCACGATTACTTTTGGCATTATGCTAGACCAAAATTAAAATCAATATAAAGAGCATTAACATAACTTTAACTGAAACATTTGTATTGTAGTATTTGCTTCAGTTTGGACAAGTAAGCAATTATCTAGGCTATAATGCTTTAAATGACTTCTTCCCTATGATGAGTCTGCGACCAAATCCTCATTGTGAAGATATAAATTGTCAGAAGAGACAAGCTGAATTTGCGGCAAAACCAAGACCAGAACAAGCACAAGAGGCACTAGAAGATGAAGGACCTATACATGATTCAAATGAATGGGGCATTTCGTTGGTTGAAGAAAGCAAAGAAGAAAAGGAGAGTGTATCAGTGGCTGAAGGGCTAACTCTTGCTTATACTTTGCCTGGTGTTCCTGATAATACACCATTAGAGCATGCTCAAGAGGCAACAAGCAATGACGTGAGTTTAGATGATCTAATGGCTCAAATGAAAGCCATGTAATCTAGCCTAAACTCAAGATATTTTATTATATTTCTGATCGAATATAAGTATTGAAATTATTGTCGTATATTTATTGTATTGCGCATATGATACTCACCGTCATTCCATTTGTATTTTTTAATTAAATGCTAAAGATCTACATGTATGAAAGGTGGCTTTTAAGTCAAAAAAAGTGTATGTAAAAATTTTAATATTTGTATAAAAATATCCACATTGATTTGAAAATATAATCTCTGACTAGAATCGTTGCAATTTGATTTACAATGTGCTAAAGCAAACAACACAAACAATTGCTTCAAGTCGCAAATTTACTCCAGTATGAGAAGAAATATGAAAAACTATGTCGGTCACTAGACCGCAAGTAGTAATATAAAAAATATTATAAAAAGTAAAAGTTCTTTATAGTTGCAATAGTATAGAACCGTAGTCCTTATGAGGTGAAGCTGTTTTCCATGTTTCTTTAAATATCGGAGCAAATGACCTATATAACTATATTAATAATATAACAAACCCAATAAGAAATGACGGATGTACATTGTGAAAATCCAGATTCTATGAGCTATTGCTAAAATAGGAAGCGAATTATAACATTATGCGCTCAGAGCTGGGCAGGATACTTACAAAAGTGTCCGAATCGAATCGATTTCTGAATTGCTTCTTTACTGGGTTACGGTAATAAATAAAATAAATGTAAGAAATAAACGTTATTTTTTGTAAAACGATTCTATTTTTTACAATTCCACAATAAATTTATCGACTTATATTTAACAGTTTGCAAGCACGAGTCATTCGGTCATTTTGATCGGTTGGTAAAACTAGGTCATAGTTACCGGCTGGTAGTTCTAGTGTTAAGGCGAACAACTTATTTACTGGGTGACGACTCTCACTGGGCCATTACATGATAACCGGCTATAAATATTCAATTCAAATTATAAAAAGTTGAATTGAATATGAGTTGCTTTATTGTTTTCGCAGGATTAAATTGACAATAATTTTTTATTGTAATTTTTGCTTTGCATTTCCCCAGTGTTTATAACTAAAAAAAAGTAATTCACTTCTTTACCGGTTTCAGTATTAGTGTTTGCTAAATATTCCTAGTTTTTTTGCCCAGCTCTGCCCGGAACTGTTCTGTTCTACTGTTCCTTATCCTATGACATTAAGGTATATTTAAAGCATCACCTAAATATAATAATTCCAGGTAATAGAAAAGCAAGTTTGGCGGTAGATTTTTAAATTAACTATTAGCCGATCCGTAACCGATTCCTTTTTTACATATCGATTGTCCTTGATTAGCTCTATTTTCTATTAGTTGAATATATTTCACAAAAAGTGGTAAATTAAAAAATTCCTGAATTATTTTGAGGTCTATAGAACTAAATTTTAATAATAATATAACCTGCTCATTAAGACTAGCCTACTATTATTAACAATATTGCCAAAATACCAATTCTGGCAGTGTGATTTGATCAAATAGGATCTTTGATTTGTGCCAGTAATAGTACTCACACAATTCATAATTTCTACTAGCACATGTTAAAGAGAATAATTAGTCTTAACTAAAACGTTATAAAATTATCTACTGAGCTAGTTTCATTTACTGAAGAAACTTTTCTTTCAGAAGAGCAAGATGTAGTAGAAGAGCTATAAAATGTGCTAGTTTCCATTTGGCTATAAAATGTTGATTTGGTTTCTTTAGTTTTGGTTTTCTTAATTTCCACTTTAATATTTACGTTTGCTTCAGAGTTGTGGTTCTTAAGATACTCTAAAATTGGATCTTTACCCGTTTTCATTGCGAGCTTTGTCCTCAAAATGATGCACTGTGATCTCCAATATTCATACGAAGAAGTTTTTAATGCTGATACCCACGTGTTCACATCAGCTTCACATCTGCATGAAAATATATGCTTTGCTTCATTGTCTCTAAACTTATCTTGTACCTTGAAAGTTAGGGAGAAGGCAAAGTGAATTCCTTTGTGGGGCCTTTCATAAGCAACATGAGCATTTTCTAACACGAGAACCCCCAAGGGACCTTGATCCTGCTCATTTACTCGATAGTAATACAGCAGGTTGCCTTTAAGTTTGAAATATCTTTCTTTGAAGCATGGTTGTTGATACCAATCAGACCATTCATTTCCTTGGGGTCTCATATGATTCAAAATACCTTCTAAATCTCCCTTGGTGTAACTGACTTTGGCTATTTCCTTGTCGTTAAACCTCATTTTAGTTGGATGATCACAAATTTAATCATAGGCTGCACGCAATCGACACTAATTTCCGTGTACTATTCAAACATTTATAATGCAAATAAATATCAATATGTTTATGATAATTGTTTATTTAGGTACTTGCACATTAACAATGTTGACAGTTCGCAACACGTCCAATATAAGGTTATGTTGTATCATGAGGTTATGTGTAGTGATGGGCACTTTCGTCTTTGGAGCGGCTTACACAATTTATCCATGGGTAGTAGGCAGTCACTTATACAATAATGTTTGTCGGTATAGGCGCTGAGATTAGCTGAGCTCTTCAGTTAGCTATGCATTCCATTACACTAATGTTACGAAAATGAACATATTTAATAAATATTTTTTAAGAATAGTTTAGAACTACTGCAATGATCAACATGATCAGTTGTTAGCTTAAAAATGCTTATTCTGGGACTGTTCTCTGTATTCCAATTTTTCTTTTGTCCAAAACTAAAAATAAATATGTTTTTAAAAGTTGACATAATGGTTAATAATGATTTCTATGAATTAGACTCTAAATTGAACGCTTTTTGATTACATCGATTACATACGCTCAGATTTACAATTTGTAATTTTTTTCGCTCAATTTTTGAACTTTAAATGGTCAGATTCTCCACAGTAGACTGCTTTAAAATGTAAAATACGGGTGTTCTGTTGTGAACAAACCTTCAATTACTAGTGTTCTTCTGCTGTGAATTACAGTCTTAATTAAACACTTTTTTTTCGTTTCTCGTTTCCTAAAGCGCGTCGTAATATCGTATTGGCTTAAGACCATTTAAAAAGTTCGAAAAGCCCAAATTAATAATGCTGCGAGCAGAAGAAAGCGATGACAAATCATGAGCTAGCCTGAATATGGATCTGCGATGTAGACATTTTTTAAGACTATATTAAATCTTGAATCTGAATAGGCCATTTGAGTAGATTTTATCCAACAGTAGTTGCCACAGTAGACTGCCTTACTATGTAAAAAAGAGGTGTTCTGCTGCGATCATATCTTCAATGCGAATTATTGACTCATTTTTCAAACCGTTGACAAAAATCAGACTTTAGTGCTATTGAAGTGGAAATTTAAGCGCTGTCAACCTCATGAGTCTTCTATAGGGTGTAAAAGTTTCAAGTTCCTACTTGCTCTAAATGGAAAGTTATGAATTTTTAAAGGAAAGCGTGCAGTTGAAGCGAAGCATTCACCAATCATGGCATAATTTGCGAATGGTTTACTTTGATTCTGGTGGATCAGCTAAAAATTGTGCAGCCTTTCACAATAGATCAAGCTAAAAAGTTTTTACGTTTCATGACAATTAGCAAACGATTGATCGGGGAGCAAGTATTTAATTTAGCATTCAAAAGTCGCCCCCATGAACGGCGATGTTTGTTTATCTTTACTCCAAAAAGCAACTTTGTTTACACTAAATATCCAAACCTGTTCGATCGCGGACTAGAAATTTTTAGAAAATCGTCAATAAAAAAAAACTGAAATCGAATAGCAATACAATGAGTCAGCCAAAGGGCCAGAGAGCAACGCTTCTATCATTATAATGTATCACACATATCACATATATGTAAGTTCTGTAGCTCGGTTTTATGTGATAAACACCTTAATTTCGCCTGAGATTTATCGGAAAGCTGAACTTTAGCTCAGTCTATTATGGGCAAGGGACTAAATCGGTCGTTGGTTCGTTGTTCATAACCGGGATAAAAGTACTAATTTAGTGCCATTTAGGAACGAACGGTCGATCATCTTACCTGTTTACTGTTAATTGCGGAGTGTAATCAAGAGCTGATCCAGGGGGGGTCATGGGGTCATGACCCCCCTGACTCTTCAAAAAAAGCAGCGTCATGTTCAAGTGGATTTTACAACTCAAAAAAAAAAACCACGCAAATCTAAAACTTCCTGAATTCAAGCCTTTTTTGAGAAAACTGCCAACATTTCCCCATCCATGGTTCACTTTCTAAAAA